GCTAGGATTACAAGTATGAGCTGCTTCTAGCACCTGGCTAGAGGGCCGAGGTGCTGACTCAAGCTATTTTTTTATACTTTTGGTGTTTAATTGGAGATAAGACTCTCACGGACTTTTCTGTCAGGCTGGCTTTGAACCAGGATCCTTAGATCTTGAATAGCTAGTACAGGTGTGAGACACTGGTGCCAGGCTCCAAACTGACTCTTTTAGCCTTAGTGATGTCTACTAACTTACTAACTTTTGTGAACTACAGTTCTCTACTAGGTCCTTCTTACGACCCTGCTTGGATGCTTGTTCCTCTTCTGTCTATGCCAGTCTCAACTGGACTTCCCCTGAATGCAAGAGGCCTTTTCACACCTCAGGGCCTAAACCTGCAGCTTCCTGTGCTGTGATGCTTCCTCCTCTTACTGTCTTCTGAACTCCCACTCAGGTGAGAGTCAGCTCAAAGCCATTTCTACAAATATTTGCCTTCCTGCACCTATCAGGCAAGAAGCAGTGCTTCTTCCATCCTCCTTCAGCTAACTGCCAGTAGTTTAGATCTCAATCCTAACACAGAACAAGGCAACTGAACTGTGCCCTGTTAGCCAGACCTCCCTGGGTTGGGGGGGAGGGGAGCTTTGCTATCTACGTTGTGAAGCACCAAAGAAAAATGCCTAACCTATAGTGCTAAGAACACTAAATATGTCTGAATGCACCAAGAGCCAGTTATATATTTTTATTATTTTCTTTTCTTCCTATTTCTTTCCTTCCTTCCTTTCTTTGTGTTCCAGTCCTGGGTCTTGAACTTAGGGTCTGGACACTGACCCTGAGCTTCTTTTGCTTAAGGCTAGTGCTCTATCACTTGAGCAGCAGGAGATGAGTCTCATGGACTTCCCTGCCCAAGCTGGCTTTGAATGGTGATTCTCAGATCTCAGTCTTCTGAGTAGCTAGGATTATAGCTCTAAGCCACCAGCTTCAGGCTTTTTGATTTGTTTTGGCAGAAAGCTCTGTGAGCTTTTTCTCCTTCCAAGTAGATGGTACTTGGATACTTTTGGTGATCTAATCCCAGTGTTACTTTCAACCTAGAAGGCTTAGTGAATCGTCCTAATCATTTTTGCTCTTCCCCAAAGTGGAAGAGGCATTGTATTCCTCCTCCAGATACCAAACCAGACATTGTTCTGGTGGCTAGGGCTTGAACAATGGACAAAATAGACAGAAGTCCCTGTTTTTAATAATATTACAATGGGAAGACACAGACAGTGAACACAAGACACAAACATAATCTAAAATGTAATTGTGATGTCATGATAAAAGTAAAAGGGGATAAGGCATATGAATGTCACTCTAATGAAGGGGTGATCAGGGAAAGCCTCACTGAGGTGACTTCTAAGATGGAAAAAGGAGTGAGGTTTGAGGTGTCAGAGGGGACAGAATGCCATGTAGGGTTGAGTATACTGGGTGTGGTCCAGGAGTAGCTAGAAAAAGAGGAGGAGGAGTGAAGATCAGGAAGGTCAGTAGAGTTTGGTGGCAGCCAACCTTGTGTATATCATAGTGATGGTTAAAATGAGAAAACCCTTGGAGAGTTCTAGAGGATGACTCATAATGCTCCATTTGAGAAGTCACGGAGGGAAGGTTAAGATTGGAAAACAAGAACACCAGTGAGGAGATTCCCTTCCTGCAAGCCAGTTGGTTAAAGAGATGGGTTACACTGGGCTGGTAGCAAGGAGGTAAAGATATGATAGGACTGTGGGAACTTTTTTGGAGGAAGAGTACTATGTTGTTGGTTTTTTTTGGGGGGGGGGTTGTTCCTAGGGCTTGAACTGAGGGCCTAGGTGCTGTTTTTTTTTTTTTTTTTTTTAAACTCAAGGCTAGTGCTCTACCACTGGAGCCACAGCTCTACTTCTGGACATTTTTTTTGGGGGGGGGGAGGGTGCTTAACTGGACGTTAAAATCTCATGGACTTTCCTGCAGGCCGGCTTCAAACTGTAATCCTCAGATCTCAGCTCCTAAGTAGCAGGCATGAGCCACCAGTGCCTGGCCAGGGATTGCCATTTATTGAGATGGGAAAAGATGGAGGAAAGCTGTTTTAAAGTGAGGATGAAGAGATGTGATTAGATTAGATGTGTGGTTACCAAGGATTTCCAAGGCCACAGAATTCTCAATGGCCATAATCTCCAAGTTAGACTAGTGACTAAAACATAGCTGACAAATTTTGGGAGAAGGATTCAAGGAATACCTTTAAGGTCATTACATTCTTCCTGTGTTCTTCTGTTGTAAATGAGCTTTGTACTAGATGCATTGTTTTAAACTGTCTCATTTTCTCTTTTTTTTCTGTGTAAAGTTATAATCAAAGGAATAAGCATATACAAACTCAAGAAATTTAGAAACCTTGAAGGCTCAAAAAAGTTGATTTCCTATTTAGTTACATAATTGACAGAAAATGAGCAGGGCTTGGTGGCTCAGGCCTGTAAGCCCAGCTACTAAGGAGATAGAGGCAGAAGGATCTTGAATTCCAGGCAAGCCCAAGCAAAGTTCTTGAGACCCTTTCTCAAAAAGGGTCTGGGGATGCCACTGGTGATAGAGTGCTTGCCTAACACACACAAGGCCTAGGGCTTAAGCTCTAGTACCCCTCTCCCCTCCCCAAAACATCAATCCTACAATTGTAGGCCAATGGTATATGTCAGCAAGACACCAGTTCTTAGGCAATGCCAGGCTGAGGTGGACAGAAACCGCATGTACACAGAGTCAATCTGAAACTTGGATGGTTGAAGAAATAATCCAAAAAGATGTATTTAAAGGGGTAGTCACTAAAGCACCTGATAAAACACTTCCTAAAATGGCACAGTTATGACAACAAAAGCATGGAAAGGGGAAGGAAAGCAAAAGCAATTTTATCATAGTCGTGGGAGGAGGGGAAAAAAGAACAGAAACTGATCCGTGGGGATTACTTTAAAAGGCTTGGAAGACAAAGGGAAATAAATAAAAACATCCCGTCCCCTTTAATGCAATGCAACCATGCTGGGGCAGGCCGGGTGCCGCTGGTCTTTTCCACTTTCTCCGGCTCTCGAGGTCGGCAATCGGGTGAGGAGAGAGGCTAAGGGAATTCGAACTTGGGTTGCAGCAGAACTGGTTGGTGATCGGACTAAGGTGACTCAAAGGCAAGACTCAAACTGGACACGGGGGCCTGTCTGTCAACTCCAAGAAGGCGGAGTGAGCGGCGCGGAACACACTTTGGGAAAGTACCAGGCCGGCTCCGCAGGGCGGCCGGAAGCCTCCCCGGGAGAGGGGCCGGCGCTGCTCGGGGCCCTTGAACCTGACCTCTCACTTCCCGCACCTGGGAACTTCCCGCACTCCACGGCTGGCATCCAGCCTCGCGGGGCGTGCCCGTGAGACCTCGGGGTCGGGTCTCCCCGCCTCGCCCGGGCACGCGCGGCACGCACCGCGCCGGGAGTCGCACCGCCGACCCAGGCACCTGCTCCGCTCGGGCTCCGCGAGACTTGGGGCGAAAGCATTACCCGGCGGGGGAGGCGCGGGGTGTGTGTGTGTGTGTGTGTGTGTGTGTGTGGGGAGAGGGAGCGCGTTCTCGCGAGGCTTAGGAAAATTCCCACGGCCTGTGTTGTGTCTGAGCGGAGTAGTGGCAGGCGGTAGGAAGGAGGTGTAGCGTGAGACTGGACTGCCCGCATGGGACGCATGCGCAGTGCCGCTCGCGCGTGGCGCGCCAATCCTGCGGCGCCTTCCGCAGATTGGGGAGGGGGGGGTTTGGAGGGGGTGGGTGGGAGGCAGATTCCAGTTCTCCGGGTTTTGCGGCTTCCTGCAAGAGGCTGTGCTAGAGCTGGGAATCTCCAGGAAAAGGACTGGGCAAGGGAGGGGGGGGGGGACACCGGAGAGGTGGAGGGAGGAGAAGCTGCTGATAGGAACGGGGGCGGCGGGGTTCAGGCTCTGCACCTTGTTATTAAATGCCCCACCACATCGCGTCTGCTAGGGGCTTCGCAATTTTCCTGGGCCAGGTGAAGTGCGTTTGGGGCTGCAAGCCAGGCGCACGGGAGGACCGGTTTTCTGGGCAGCGTCCAGCCTGCGGCCGGGCTCGCACGCGCTGGCAGCGCTGAGGCCCGCGGCTGGGCTGTGTGGCTAGCGTCGGGGGTGGCGGAGAGCGGCTCCTCATCCCAGCGCACTGGTCACTGCTGGAGTCCGACGGCTCGGCGCCCCGGCGGGTGGCAGGCCGGGTGGCTCCCCGTTGCGCCGGGGCCCGAGGCCCGCAGCGGACCTGAGTTTGCAACCCAAGGCGACACAACTCAACGGGCAAAAGTTTTCTATCCGAAGAGCGGTGGGAGCGATCGGGCCACGTGGTGACCGTGCCAGCTTCCCTACCAGCAGGGGGAGAGGGTGGGGGAGGCCAATGAATGGAGATCGCTCCGGGCCGGTCACTCACTGGTCCAGACCCCAGGGATCTCGGCCGAGCGCACACGCGCACCGACGCGAGCCCGGAGGAGGCGTCCACTGAACGCCCGAATGAATGAAAAGGCCGCGATCGCGGTGAGCGGGAAGCCACCGGGAGCACACCCACGCGGGGAGGAGGCGGCCTGGGAAGCGCCGCGTATTTTCCCAGGACCCCTCCTCCCGGGCCCTCGGCCCCGCCCCCTGACCCTCCGTTGCCTGTCCCCGTAGTAATTCCCCCCCCCTCCCCGCACACACCTCCCCGCCCCTCCGGTTTTCCTCAGTCTCCACGTACGTTCCCGAGGGCGCGTCCCAAAACCCGGATCTCCGGAGCGCTCCCCATGGACTGCGCGGAGGGCTCGCCCGCGGAGGAGCCGCCTGCGCATGCTCCGTGGCTCGGGTAGGTTTCCCGAGGAGGCAGTGAGCTGCATCGCCTGCTCGGCGGGCGGCGCGAGGCGGCGGGCTGTGCGCGGCGCCGCGAGGGGGAGAGGAGTACCGGGGCTGGGTGGAATCGAGAAGCTAGGCAGAAAGGGAAGGGGCGGGGAGGGGAGGGGGGGAGAGGAGAGAGGGACCCGGGCAGGCTTCGGGGGGAATCTCGCGAGGGTTGGAGTTTTGGCGAGAGTTTGTGGAAGATGGCGCCTGTTGTGACAGGGTAAGTCTGAAGGAACCGAGCGCTGGGAACCGGGAAAGTTGCGGGCGTCTGGCAGCCCGTGGCGGGCGGCGGGTTCGAGGACCGCGGCTCGGCCGGGTCTCGAGAGGCCGCGAGGAGGGAGCGGCGTCGCGTG